CAGCGCAGAGCCGCGAGCGAAGCAGATACCCAAGATGGTTAGTTATTGAAGTATATTATAAGCAAACCAGTCGATGCAATGAATGAGTTCCTTATTATATTTACGAAACGAGAGCGGTTTAGCAAAAGAAAGAAAAGGAAACAAATTCCAAGCTCGAGTCCGGGCGCAGGAGGAGAATAAAAGCCGACTCAACGGGGTGCCAGGGAAGGATGATGGAACCCTAGCGGGATAACTGGCAGGCTGGAAAGCAATCCACCAAGTCTGGCCTTCAAATGTTTTTCTTCCCTTTTTTTTTTTTTTCGTTTTTGCTTTTGCTATTCGCCTACTTATTCTCCGCCTCAAATCACCTTTTGCGGACGGCGCAGGAATCGTGACAGGAGAAATTTTTATCAGATGGGGCTAGCAGGCATGTTGGCCGTATCTGATGGGAGATTGATAGTGTCTCGGCCAACCAGATGCGGCGGTTGCTCGCTTTAGCTTCCTTACTTCAACGACGGACTCGCGGTAGCGCCAGACGGTGGTGCACACAGCGGCAAGGGAGTTTGCAGCTATTTGCGCAGGGATAATACCGCTCCCTGACCCAGGAGCTGATCAAGGCCGACAGGGAGAATGAAGTCACTGCGGTGCCTGCAGCCAGGCCGGATTGCTCTGTAGTATCCATGGACGGCGTTTGTTTGGAGAGACGAAGAGACCACCGTGAAGACAGTCGCGGTCAAACCTGGGGGAATGAAATATGAACGAACAGTCCCTCCAGAGAGGCGTTGAGCACCGCAATAGGTCATCCGGGTTATGCGCCATCTGCTCCCGACAAGCACCAATATCTTACCCGGACACTGTTCGCGGAGGGGAAACTTGATTGGTTTAGAATAGAGTTAATTATTCGCATTTTTTATTCCAGGTTGCTGTAGTTCTTAAAGCTTGTTTAGCAGACTTATCCGGTTCCACAGACAGAAACCTATGGATGGTTTCGGGAAGTCTAACCCTGCCAGAAGACAGGCCTAACAATTCCAATCGCTAACTCTATTCGTTTAACCCGAAAGCCTCAAGAATATTGTCCACGAATCAGTTTCCGCCATCCTTATTTATCTGACGTATACTCTCTGGCTATGGCTTCAAGACCGTAACCTCGTTTCAACACTGAACTATCTGCAAAGTTACTCGGGAAACTCCTAGAGCTCATATCCCAGGGTTGCTCTACGTCAAGTCCCCGATCATGTCGCCGTTCTCGAGCTTGCTAGCCGGGTAGGTCTTCGCTGCATCGTACGAGAAAAATTCCGTCTAGCGCTCATGTTCTCGCGCCACACATCCACTTTTCGTCCTTCCCTTGCCCATTCCCGACCTGCCACCTCGCGTGCTCACCGTCTAGACATTCCGTATCCATGGAGCCAACGCCACCCGGTGCCCGAATTCCCTCGGCTTCCATGTTCGACGGCCGGCTAAGAGGAGCACTGCAACAGTTCGATCAGATAACGATTTCACACAATACATCTTGTTTATATCAGCTGATAATGGAAAGCAAGGTGTGCTCACTTGCGTTTGGAGGCCCACAAGGGCCATGGCCATAGGGGCTGACACATCCAGACCAGAAGAGTAGATCAGAGATATGGTTCATTGTTGGAATATTTTTCGTTTTTTGTTTACTCTTTTCAAACTGATGAATCAATTTCAGGTCGAAGGAGATGAAAATTTTAAAGCCATTGGAGTTAGTTATCCTTACGGTGTCCGTGAAAATATGCTTGATTTGATTGACGAAATGGGCGATTCTGCTTTGAAATATGGTGGATCGAATCCCATATATTACAAGGATACCTTCGTAGGGTAAGCTGCGGAGTGGGATGGACATTATCCTTGTACTATATTGTATGCAAAATCCGTTCACTCGGGTCCAATTCCAACAGATCGGTGCATCCGCCTGCTGCTACATCACTCACATAGTACAGGGTTACATGGTTAGTAGTAGCTCTACTTTTCATATTTGGGCGAGATTCTCGCCTACCAGGCTGGGTTGGGCAAATCTGAGGCAGTTCATTCAGTGTGTGTACAGTGTCCTCTCACTATATACTGTATATATATATATATATATATGTATGTATATCTCTCCTGTTCCATACAGCAACAACGCTCCGATGTGATGGGGAAATAGCAAATCACTCTCGGCGGGATTGCTTGTGCCCGCGATCAGATAAGATAACAGATAAATTACGGAGCGCTGTTCTTGGCATCGCCATCAACGTCATCCATCAACATCCGCTTCTCCTCAGCATCCTGTGGTAGATATAGACAATCCGGCTTCAATATCCTCTGTGGCCCATCCACTTCTACAAGCTGCCCCACAAGTTCTGTGCTTCTGGTATTCGACACTCCTTTCTACGTTTCCTTCGCCCTCAGCCAGGCCAACCACTGCGTAAGAGGCCAAGAGAACGCCACATATCCAAGGTTGAGCCTCACGAGAATCTCACCCACGCTGTAACCGCACATTCCGGAACGACGTGTTCACCACGCATAACTGCTTGACACCAGTTCTCTGTGATTCAATGCCCGTTATTATTGGGGGTGGCGGTATCTTCTCTGAAACACATCTATAAATACCAACCTCCAGCGATCTGCCAGCGCACAACGGGTACCCAACTGCAAACGGCCGTTTGCAGCGTTTGGGGCAATCAATTAACGTTCACATCTGCTGGAATTTCATCTGCCTTTGTATATTTAACGGCGGAGAGTACTAGGCTTTCGGACGGAAACGGGAAGGGAAGGGAATCACTGCAAGAACCTTTTCAGGGAAGCTACATGTATCTGAGGGCGCCGTCGAGCATATTACATTCGTTCTCCACCGTTCCCGACAATGTGCATAGCTCTCATTTCCACAGCTCACCCTTGCTACCCACTGATCCTAATCGATAACCGAGATGTATGTATAAAAACTTGTCTAATAACCGGCCCCCCCCCCCCCCCCCCCACAAATCCTAAATTTCATCACCCTCATCCACATTGCCTCAAATGAGCATATCACAGTACTAACAACAACTAGGAATTCCTTCACCGCCCTACGGCCCCCGCATACTGGTGGCCAGGCGACAAGTCTCATGTCCTAGGTTCTCGGGACTTAGCCCGGGAAGTCCATGGCACCTGGCTGGGCGTCACAAAGCAGGGCCGCATCGCCGTGCTAACAAACTACCGCGAGGACACCGACAAGCCCGTCGTAGGCGTGCGCAGCAGAGGCTCCATCGTGAATTCATTCCTCGAGCTGCCTCCAGACAGCACAGTCACCGCTAAGGAGTATGCCGAGGACCTTATCTCGGGGGGCGACGCGCAACTGGCCGGCGGCTTCAGCCTTGTCTGTGGCAACGTGCGCGGGCCCTTGGCTGTTGTTTCCAACCGCGTCTCAGCAGCGGACGGCATTGAGTGGATTGCGAATGAAAAGGGCCAGACGGTCGGTCTGAGCAATACGGTGTTTGGAGACCGGTCGTGGCGGAAGATTGTGGATGGGGAGAGGCTCCTGAAAGAAGCGATTGATGCCTCCGTGAAGCTGGGTGAATGTGAAGACGCACTTGTGCAGCGGTTGCTGGAACTGCTTAGCAGGGATACGCTACCGAGATTGCGCGAGGGGGGCAATCTGGAGACGTATATCAACCTGCTGCGCGAGAGTATCTTTATCCCTGTTATCGGAGATGATGCGGAGATTGAGCATACTGTCGACGAAGTTTGTGCATCGAAGCTGCAGGGGAAGGTCGATGTGGTGGCTAATGGGCCGACGGACCATCATGAGTATATGAGGGGTCTGTATGGAACGCAGACGCAGACGGTCGTGCTTGTGCATGAATCTGGGCGCGTGAAGTATTTTGAGCGAACTCTGTATAATGACCAAGCAGAGCAGATCAAAATTGGAGAGGGCGACAGGACTTTTGAGTTTACTGTTGAATAAATAGCTGTTTTAACAACTTTGGATTCTTGATATTTTAACAAAAGAAGAAAGAGAAAGAAAGAAAGAAACCCCAACGAGCTATTTTGATATTTTGGTGCGCCCCCAGTGAACCTGCAAAAATCGTCTATCAGAAACTTTGTTTTGCTTCTTGGTTTTGTTTATTGGGACGTAACTACTGTACTTGCTTATCTCGAGAATGTTACTCGCCAACGGAAAGAAAAGAAAGCGGACCGACCCAGCACATACAAAAACTACACCAAATACAGCCATACAAAATAAAAGGGAGTCCACATAGGTCCCAGAAAGCCGGTTTTTTTATCCGTTAAATTACGAATTGGTCTACCATCATCCACCATTGTCAATCCTATAACGAGTCGCTCCTACATACGCAATCTCATCTGACTAGTGACTAGCTATCTGTCTATGCAACGGTATATAAAAATTTTACAAATGATGCAAAAAGACGTGAGGATTTCGATTTTCATTTTTGTTTGTGTTGGTTAGGTGGCAGGTATGTAACTAGTAATAAATTCTAAGGAAGGTGTTTCGTCAAGATAGATAAAAGTATATATATATATATATATATAACATAGCCTGATGCCTATTCCTCTGCGTCTGCATCATTGAACTCTCCCTACCACGAGCGGGCTAACATCAAGGATATCTCCCTAAAAGAATCACGAAACTACGTAAGTGGCCATGCCCAGCTCATTACCAGAATTGTCCCAAAGCCCATCCGCAGCATGGACACTTGAAGCCAATTCCCCCATATCCAATTCAATTCCTCAGCCCCCCCCCCCCACACACAGGAAAAAAAGGGGACAATTTTACGGTTAAAAAAACGAAAAGAGATAAAAAT